GAGCGGCTTTGCAAAACAAGGAACCCTGGTTCGAATTCGGCTAGAGCACATATGAGATTTCTCGAATATTCAGGCCGGTAGACCAAAATATATGTACTGTTTAAAAAATAAATGAGGCCTCTATTCAAATACGTGTATCCATTAAAAATAACGTTTAAGTAATAAAAATATGTCGGATGAATAAGTAAAAAAAATCCATTAATTCTTTAAAAATTACTTGGTTTCTGTTTAGATAGGAAACTGAAAAGAGAGAAGCAGGTTCGTATCCTGCCGGAGAGAACATATTTTTCTTTAAAAGATTTCTCATATATTCAGAACGGTCAACGAAAATAAATAAATAAACTGTTTAATAAATACATGGAGCATCTATTCAAATACGAGTATCCACTTAAACTAACAATTATGTGATTATATTTGTATAGAGAAAGGAAGTTTAATATAAACGTAGATAGATAGATAGATAGATAGATAGATAGATAGATAGATAGATAGATATAAAATAATTTTGAACAAAATCAAACGTACCGAAAGATAGATCGAGAGGTAGAGAGATAGTTATGAACAGACCAAGATCTACGGACAGGTAGACAGAGAGATAGGTATTGAGAGATAGATAGATAGATAGAAAAAGAAGAAAAGAAAGAGATACAGAGAGAGAGAAAGAGAAGGAACAGAGAATAAATAGAACGTCTACTCAAATACGAGTATTAAAAAAAAATAACGTTTAAGAAATAAAAATCTGTCGGATTAATAAATAAAAAATCCATCCCTTTCTTTAGAAATTGCTTTGTTTACGTTGGGATACAAAACTGAATAGATAGGATAATTTCTAGGAATCTATGACGAGGAGGATATCGCTTAATAGCACTGTTCAGAATTCGGTTGTTTTGCAAATGTTCTTCGTGTCTGAGTTGGTTATGGGTTGCATCTGCTCAGAAGGACGCAGGTTCGAATCCTACCAGAGAGCGTATATTTTTTCTTTAATATGATTTCTTGAATATTCAGACTAGACGAAAATAAATAAACATATAATTAATAAATAAACAGAACGTCTACTCAAATCTGAGTATCCATCAAAAGTGGTAAAATCTGTCGAATTTATAAATACAAATAGATAGATAGATAGATAGATACCGAGAAAAAATAATGAAACAGATACAGACAGACAGAGAGTGGGCAGGGAGAAAGAGAGGTTAATATAAACAGATAGATAGATAGATAGATAGATTATGAACAAAGAAAGAAAGAAAGAAAGAAAGAAAGAAAAGAAAGAAAAGTAAAAACAAACGTTCATATTCCATTTCTTCATGTCGAGAAGTCCAAAGCATGTGACGGTCTCCTAGTAAAAATCAGGTTCGAACCCTACCGGGGAGCGTATATTTTGTTTCATAATATTTCTCGAATATTCAGACCGGTAGACCAAAATTTATATTGTTTAATAAATAAACAGAACGTCTACTCAAATGAGGGTAACCACTAAAAATAACGTTTAAAAGCATATATATATATATATATATATATATATATATATATATATATATATGTGTGTGTGTGTGTGTGTGTGTGTATGTGATTATTTTCGTTTCGTCCTCTGAGGGACTTTATCAGGGCAAATGCAAGACCCCTCCGGAAGACGAACCAGGTCGACTAAGATACGTTTTCATTTTGCCTTCATTCATAGTGTCTTTTACAGATATACTCAACCTGAAATTATTACACACACAGACACACACGCACCCATACATACACACACATACATATATATATATGTGTGTGTGTGTGTGTGTGTGCGCATGTGTGTAAGTAATAATTTTCGTTTCGTCCTATGAGAGACTTTATCAGACCAAATGCAAGACCGCCAAAAAG